GGCTGAGATGACCAGGGCGAGGCGGTTCCTCAGGTAACCCGGTCCCATGCCATGAAGGGCTTTAAAGGTGATGACCAACACCTTGAATTGGACCCGGAAACAAATTGGCAACTGTTGTCATTAGTCCCATTTTTTCACTGCACTCTTTGACTTTTAGTATTAGGCCTTGTAGATCCTTTGCATTTTTAGCTATCAGGGTAGTGTCATCAGCATGATGTAGGTTGTCATTTTTTTCCTCCAATTTTAAAACCACGCTGTGTCCATCTTCTTCCAGTCCCTCTTCCCTTAATATATATTCAGCATATGGGTCAAGTAAATAAGGGGAGAGTACCTGTCTTACTCCTTTGCCAACCTGGAGCAGTATGTTTCATCATGTTCTGTCTGTACTGTGGCTTCCTGACCTGTATATAAGTTTCTCATAAGGACAATGAGATGTTCTGGGATTCCCATTTTTATGAGCACATTCCATAGTTTGACATGATTAACACAATTGAAGGAATTTCTCTAATCAATGAAGCACATAGTGACTTCTTTTTGGTATTCTTGGGTTTTCTCAATTACCCCACAATGCATCAACAATAATGTCTCGTGTTCCTGGTCTTTTCTAAAGCTTGCTTGAACATCTGGCATCTCTCTTTTCATGTAGGGCTCTAATCCGTGTTGGATGATCCTAAGCATTATTTTGCTAGCATGTGAAATTAAGTTACGATAGTTTGCACACTCTGTTAAGTCTCCTTTTTTTGGTACTGAAATGTAGGTTGATCTCTTTCCAATTTGCTGGCCACTTTGTTGTTCTCCAGATTTGCTGGAATAGCTTGGTTAGAACCTTCACTGATTCTTCTTCTGTTGCTGGCCATATTTCTGTGGGTATTCCATCAGTTCCTGTAGCTTTCCGATTTGGTAATGACTGGAGTGCTGATCTAACCAGCTTCTAGTACTAGAATTCTTGTAAATAGGGAATATCTTCTAAGGTATCTTGGATGTTGACATCTCTACTATAGAGAATTTCAGTATACTCTTTCCATCTTCCTTTGATCTCCTCTGAATCGGATACTATCTGTCCATTGGTGTCTAGCATACTGATTCGAGATTGGAACCTCCTTCTAAGTTCAGAGACCTTTTGGAAGACTTTCCGTGTTTCCCATGTCTGTTTCCATCTTAACTGGCTTTACAGATCTCATTGTAATACTGCTGCTTGTCTCTTCTCTCTGAAACTCTTTGTTAAGCTCCTTTCTGAGATTTTTGTCTTTCTTGGATTTGGCTTCTCTTCTCTTCTTGGTAATTTGTGTACTGACATCCAATTTGATTTCTTCTGTTTCTTCATTTTTGGCAGTCCCTTTTCACATTCATCCTTGACATCTTAAGTTCATTACATAATTCCTCTGATTCTCTATCAATAATGTTCAGGACTTCAAAACAATTCCTGATGTTTTCCTTGAATATATAGACAACAGAGCAAGACAAAAGAATCCTAAAATGGTAGGATGGTTTGTAGTATGGTTTATGTTAGTTGATGATATTTTTTACTGCTTCCTTGATAAAACAAAGTGGAAACCCACCCACCCCCACTGCCAAGTCAAAATTCACAAAAAGAAAGGATCTACCTTAGTCCTCTTAGCAAGTATCTGGGTGAGGCTGAACTTGGAACCAGTACATTGCTGTGGGTGTTGTTGGCTCTGTACATTTTTAACCTACTGAATCTGGGTCTTTGTTGAGATAGATAGCAGGCTATCCATACCAGTTGTCAAAACCTTTGTTTTGTTGGCATTAATTTTCAGGGCTTATGAATAGGCAGTCTTCATGATGTTATAGTATACAAGACCTCTGTGGCACTGTCTGCAAATATGGCCTTAGGTCAATCATGTAGTGGGTTTCATCATACTGTACTCCTTGCCTGCCACCAAAAACTTTCTTCATGGCATTGACTATGACACTGAATAGCAGGATGAAATCATGCAGCCTCACCTAAAGCCAATTTGAACTGGGAATTTCTGTGAAAGTTTATATAAGATGCACACACAGTTGCTGGAATTGTTGTACGTTTCTTGCAGTAGGTGTATGATTATTGTGGGCATGTTGTCTGGTTTTCAATGCTTTCCATAAAGCTGGACGATATATACTGTCAGGCTGCTCAAAGTTAATCAGTATAATGACCATTCATTTGAATTATTTCTTCCATGAAATAATAATCTTCCTCGGTTTGGGCAGAAACCAGCCTACTGTTCTCTAGTTGTCTATTCCCACTGTTTCCTACTGGAAACTTAGTTGGATGATTCTTATGAGGACCTTTTCAATGGTTGGTAAAAGCCCTAAGTCCCAGTAGCTTTTGCATTTGCAACTGTTGCCATTTTCCAAAATAGGGATTTTAATCGCTCATTTCTATGCAATGGAGACCTTCTCTGAGTGCCAAATAATGGGTAACTGTGAATGCGGTCATTGAGTTAGATTATCTCCATCATCTTTGAGTGCCTCAGCTCTAATTCCATTCATTCCAGCTCTTTACCATTTTTCAATAAGCTTATTGTTGTTTTTATTTCATTAAATTCAGCATCCAACGCCTGATTCTGTGGCACTTCGATGAGCAGGGGATCTACCGGTGTCCCTGCAACTCCTCATGGTTGTATAGTTGCTGGAAAAATTCCCTCCATCTTTGAAATTGTTCATTTGAAGACTGCACACGTCCCATCCCATATATGCTTGTTGCTTGTTGATTCTTTTCCCCTTCATTAAGGCATCTAGGACAAACAACCTTGACTTTGGGCATCTACACAAGGATAACTTCTGATACAGTATCAGTTTTCTATAGATAAACCCTGCACACTGCTGCTGTATGTAACTGCTCTGTAAGTATAGTGATTAAATGTGATTTCCCAAAATGTGTTCACACACAAAATAGACACATACATTCATCATGCAACTTATGATACAGGTAGTCCCCAGTTTAAGAGCAAGTTCCATTCCCAAAGTCTGTCCTTTAGTCGTAAGCCGGAGCAGCATTATTGTATAATACTGTATAAGTAGTATTATGTAATTAACTCGAACCACTGTGTATTTAACTTGAATTTTGCTACAATAGGCTTTGTTCTTAACTATGGGTCACCTTTAAACCAGGCATTCTTAACCTGGGGACTACCTGTACTGCCTCGATAACAGGGACTCATATAGACTGCTGCACTGTAATCTCTTTGGGGCTCTCTCTCTCTCTTTCGTTCTTCATTAAATAGCCTTTATGCTCATAGGAGAAATTAAATGGTTACCAGATCAGGGCTGTAAAATCCAGACAACCACTAGATGGAAATAGATTTCCGTATCTATCTGCTACCTTCCAGTGGTCCTCTGGATTTCTGCAATGCAGGTCTGGCTGCTCTAAGAAAAGATAAGTAGTTTTATTTGACCAGCAGACCTTAATCTTCAATTTTTAAAAAGCTATTAACAATTAAATATCCAGTAGTTCAAATTCAAATTGATTTTATGTTTTATTATTTTTAACAAATGCTTATCCAAAACCATAGTGAAAACATAGTGAACTCAGTACCTGAAGTTGTATTTTAGCATCTTTGCTCACACTTTTTGTTCTCCATCTTCTTGTGACACGCTTGTCTTTCTTATCTACACTGTTAGCCTATGTCATAAAATAATTAAAGCAGTAAAGCATTGGGTTAAAACTGACAAAGCTGACATGGACAATATGCAAAAATTAATAACAAAAAATCAGCATTAGTTGACTGCCAAACATAATAAAACTGCTATTCTATACAGTAGGGTACAAATAAAGCAAACATGCCATTGAAGACAGTTTCAAAAACAAGAATCGCGGCACAATTGTTCAACCATTTATGCTAGAGAATGCTGTCTAAAATTTACTGAATATGGTAGCTCCATTTCTCTTTTCACAACAGTCTTAACAAAAAGAACAAAGAACAAAGAACAAAAAAGCAACTGAATATTAAATTTAGAACAAAGTATGCAATTTAGGCTGAAAAATTATTTTAGTTTAAACTCATTAGAGAACTTGACTATGATAATGAATAATTCTGCACTTTATTGTGTCATTGTATTAACTAGAAGTTCATACATAGATAATGATATGGCTGTTAGCAGAGAACATTCATCCAGAATATTTCAAAATATATTATAAAATACATAGTATATGCAAACATTATTTTATTAATTTTTAAAATCAATTTTATTTACCTGCATATCTGTGAAGCTTGGTGCTGACTGAGTTCTCTGAAGTATTTCTAAGTTCTGAAGAATTTTACTGAGTTTTACAAGATTTGATTGACAATGTGCAAGATCTGACAAAAAGTAACATGTTTAGAATAACAAAAACTTATTTTGATTAAGATTTTATCTGCAAGAGTATTACAAGATATTACAACTGAAATGATGGCATCTGAAACCCCCCATTCCCCACTAGCATTCCATAAAGGAAGCAGGACAGTCACACAATAAAACCTATAAATTTCATGCCACATTATGCTAACAGATTTTGGGCTCCCTTCATCTACTCCACACAGCTGTTAAATTTCTTCCTGCATGTCCCCAAACCTTCTGGAAATAACTTGAATGTTGCACAAACTGGTGGACATCATGATGGCGAATCATTCCATATGCAGATCAGAATAATTTCTATGCAAGTGAAATGACCCCATTAGACAAAACCCTTTGCCTGGAAATACCATGGGGTTTTGGGGGGTGGGGAGTTCTTCTTTCATTCTTCTAGACGTCTTAGATTGTATTACAAGGCAAATAATAACAACATCTTAAATTTTATTCAGTCATAATTTTGGGTTATCTTTAATCCCTATAATTACTATTGCTGAGTTAGATGATAAAATTAAGTCAAGACTTTAAAGTTTAAAACTTTAACTGGAAAGTGTAGAATATGTTATTATTATCAACTATAATATACAGAAATTACAGAATTTTCAGCTCTGTATTACAGAGAAATATACGATATTGGAAATATTTGCTAGGTAGAAGTTGAGTACTTTTAAATATAAAAAAATGCTAACTAACATTAGGAAAGAAGTTTAATTAGTCCTGAAAATCTGAATTTTGGTGGTTCTTGGAAGAATTGCATATAATTTTAAAAAGTGGGGGAGGAGAGCTTCATTTTAAGTATAGCCAAGAGAAAATTCCTATATTTTTTGCTATATAACATAAAATAAGTACATTTCCACCATAGCTTCCAACTATGTTCTACATATAGCTCTATCAGTAGCTGTGATTGTAGATGAAAGGAAGGAGGTGCTGACCTTCTGCACACTTGTCCATCTCCTCTGATTCCTGCAACCAAGCAACTACTTTACTTTGGCCAGTAGTACATGTTGCAGGTAGGCTGTTACTGCAAGGGATAGATGGTTGCCAGGGGAAATTATTCTGTGAGACCTAAAGAAAGACATACCCACACACACAGATATACATATGAGAACACTGGGAGAAAAAATGGTTGTGATAAAAACTAAAGTGGTAACTGTTATTCTCCTCTTGAAAAAAAAATGAGGCGTGTATCTAACACTCTAAACTTGATAACAAATAAATGTGGTAAAATGGAGATGTCCTTTGTTGCATGTATTCTTCTTTTCAGTGTTAACGCTATCCATATATAACTGCATCCATTTCCTGATGGAGAAAAATGAATGGCTAGGAATGTGGTAAATCATTCCTCTCTCTCAGCCCCCAACATCAGGCTCGGGCGACAAGCCAGTCGGTCAATTTCTGTCACAACCAACAGATCAACATTTGGTTGATTCCCCCCAAAAAAATGGACCCTGCACATGCGAGAAAAACTCTAGGAAGAAGGAAAAAAATTCAACAATGGGGCAACTTAGTACAGATTTTTCTTTTGTACCCCTAGAATTGTGTACTTTACTGAAGTTAAATGGAGAAGTCACTTGAGATGGTATAGCATATCATAATTAAAAAGGTATTTTAAATAATGGAGAAAAATGAATGGCTAGGAAATGTGGTAAATCATTAAGCAACTTTATATGAACTGAAGGATGGCATTCTTCCTGACCAAGCAAATGTTATACCTTAGCTTCCAGCAATGTAGCATTAGTAGCTGGTGAAGATTCAGTGGTTGAAGTTGAAGGGAATATGTGGAAACTGGCATCCCGTGGTGATCGCACAATTTCATTCTGGCGATATAATCTGTGATGGCGCAACTTTGACACCCAAGCATCAAATGAATCCTGGGACTTCACCTAATTAAAAGATCAGTGTGAGTAAGAAATCCAGTAATAATACTTGATTTCCCTTTTATATCATAAGTTGAAAATCAAAATTAGTAGAAATACTCCTTACTTTTAAATGGTAGATATGCTCCTCAGTGTCAAGATCTATCCTACGTGCTTTCTTTTTAATTGACATAACTGATAACCCCACATCTATGCTCCCATGAACCTTTCCTTTCTGAGTCTGAAAAGAAAATCGAGAGTAAACATTATGTGCACAGTAGGAAATCAAAGGCAAAAATGGCAATTTAATTGATTTTCAGGATGAATGGATGGATAGCTTTCTGGGCTATAGTGCAAGAGTAAATAAAATAGCAAAAATGGGAAAAAGTTGGGGAGAAATTATCATGTGCTGCTTACCAGGAAGAGGTTATTATGTAAGGAGTGCATTGCTTTTTTTCACACACACATACAAACATTTTATAGGCTGAGATGAATGAAAAGATGGAGGCTAATTATATACAATACTATTTTAAGAAGAAAAACAAAACAAATGACAGATGTTTAAATACGAGAATGAAAAGCAAGCCTGAGGCTATGATTCAGATAATCTACATATACATATAGGCAAAAATTATGCATTTAATTCAAGTGACATTTCTGTGGCAACTACATTCATTGCTAAAGAACTAAACTCAGATTAAGCTTGGCTCACCTATGCAGCAGTGAAAGCTATGATGTTAAAAAAACATTCTAATACAACTCTGGCAGCATGCACCATTCATATGCAAATACTACATCTCTAAAGAGCAGTTTATACTGATAAATAATAGGGGAGAGTTTCTACCCTCATGAAAACTTATACCTGTATAAATTCCAAAATAGGCTTGAGGGAACAAGCTACATAAATAAGCATACAAACCTCCATTTCTTATCTATTATACACAAAAGATTTCAAAAATAAAGAAATGAAATAATGTTACCTAAATAATCAAGTCTTCCTCTGAACAAAATATCAACATGTTGTGAACTAATTTTCCCCTTCCTCCAATTATACATAAAAGAAAAATTAATTATAACTAAGATTGCTTCTGTATTTTTAAGGGCATTTGGTCTTAAAACTGCTTATTTCTAAAAAGAAATAACAGAATGTACTTTATCATATATACATCATCTGGAGAACTTACGGTATTTTAAAGATGCAACAAAAAACTAAACTCATCTTTAAACCCATATTGCTGCAGGCCTTGTTTGTTTTCTATTGCTGCCTCTTAACAGGGAACTTTTAGGGTTGCTAGATTTATTATGTGGTTTCAGCAGTAAATTTTATTACATTTTAATGTTTTTCTTAACTAGGGTAGATTTTTTTTAATGTTAATATTATTACTGACTTGTATTATTATGGTAAAATAATTGCTTTATTGTGGTCAACAATTACCTTGCAGTTAAAATAAAACAAAGTTATAATTAAAAATCCATAACAACTACTCATTAGTACAGTAAATCCTTGATTTACCAACCTTCATTAAAGAGGACTTTGAAAGCAATGGAGAAAATCCATTCACTCTTTTATGCATGCATAAAATCCCATTTACCATTTAATGGACATTCAGATCTAACAAACATCCGTTCCCTTCTATTACAGGTAGTCCTCGACTTATGACCATTCATTCAATGTTCAAAATTATGATGGCGCTGAATGAAGGGACTTACAACCCGTGCCCAAAGTTACAGCTATTGCAGCACCCCCCAATCACGTGATCAAAATTCGGGTGCAGGGGTGCTTCAACTCCTCCCACCTGCCTATCTCTTCCTCCCACCTATGCCCTTTTTCCACCCCACACTCTGCCTTGTGGGGCAGCAAGCAGCCCCAGAACCACACAGCTCAGGCTGCAAGAAGCCCCTGAGCTGCAGCTGCCCCAGCCCAGCCGCCCCAAGCCACATGAGGTGCCCCAGGAAGCTGCAGCCACCTCAGCCCAGCCTCTCCAGCCCAGCCACCCCAAGCTGCCCCAGGAAACATTTGTTCACCCAGCTACCTTCTGTCCCAGTTCCCTGCACCAACCTTTCACCTTTTTCACCCAGCCACTGCAGCCAAAGCAAAAGCAACTTTTCAAAGACAGTGCAGAGCCTTCAGAAAGACAGGGCAGGTTTTGCACTGTCTTCAGAAACCAGCCTTGTCTTTCCTTAGGGTCTGCACTGTCTTCGGAAACCTGCAGTCTTTCCGAAGGCCCTGTGAACACAGCACAGGTTTCTGAAGACAGTGTTCCAAAGGCTCACTCCAGGGAGCCACATGGAGGATACATTTGCCGGAGAAGCCGGGTCTGAAAAGGAGATAGCAAAGGCAGCGGTTCTGGGGCTGCTTGCCACCCCACAAGGCAGGGTACAGGATGGAGTGGGTCCTTGGCTAACAATAGATGAAATTCACTTAACGACGGCAACAGGGAGTACCGGGATTGCGGTCACTAAGCAATGGAGTCACCTGACATCTTGCTTTACAACCACATCACTTAGTGACAGAAATTCCAGTCCCAATTGTGTTCGTAAGTCGAGGACTACCTGTATTCTGTTAAATTGAGGATTTGCTGTATTTTGCAGTCTGCTGAACAGCAAATGGAACATACAGAGTTTCCAAGGCACCCAACCTACAAAGGCACAGGTGCTGCATAACAGGTACACTAATTATGTCTATCAAATAATACTGCAAAAGGCAGAACACTGACCTGACCAAAGTGAAGTAGTAGTATTAACAAGATAAGAAGCTGGTGTGCTTTTGGTTTTAAATCTTCATAATTTAAGAGCTGGAAAGTAGAGTTTGCTGACTCTTTATATATAGAAGCTTGCCCTGCCAATCTTGGTTGGAGCGTGGTTTCTTCCTTGATATAGGAAGAAACCACGGGAATATGATTTCATCTCAAGGTAATGAAATAACTATAGGCAAACAACCAAGCTCAGAGACACTAAGAACCGACCAGGTTAAAAATTATCTGTCACAAATAAAATCTGGCAAATTATAAAGCCGAAAAATCCACAAATTATGCTAGAGATAAAAGGAAGAGGATGGAAAAAGAGCAGAAATGAATGGCAGAATTTGCACCTTTTCTCTATAGTACAGGGATGTCTATATCTCTACTGGTACTAAGCATTCAAATAACATGTAACTCTCAACTTTTTAAAAAGCCCCAGGGTTACTTACATCAATTGGTGACTTTGAATATTTCAACATTCCATTATCCAGAACAAAAAAGCGCTGCAGAAAAAAAAATGTAGGAGATCACAATACAGTAGAGAATATAAAAAACTGTTAATGAAGACATAAATACATTGCATGCAGCAACGAATGTATTTCTCTTTCTTTGGTAGCAAAAGCAATTACAAACAGCCAAGAATTTGCAATAAAAAGCAGAAGTACAGTGGC